GAGGACAAATTGTTTCCTGTTATGGTATTATGTCGGCGACGAATGTGTCCAGACTTACCATTATACATGCTGCTTTGTGCCCTTCCAATTGCTGATTGACTATCGCAATGAATCAATATTGCCGGCACTGGTTTATTCCAACACGGAATATCTTCTAGGAAATTACGAAGCCATTCCACTTCTTCTCCAGTTTTATCTAAAGCTATGAACTCCGATTCCATTGTGGATCGAGCTATACATGTTTTCTTTGTAGATTTCCATGACACAGCAGCTCCACCTATAGTGAAAACATATCCACTTGTGGATTTAGAATCTTTAGTATCAGATATCCAATTCGCATCATTGTATCCTTCTAGTACAGATGGATATCTTGTAAAATGCAAACCAAAATCTAGAGTATGTTTCAAATATCTAAGTACTCTAGTTAATGCATTCCAATGATCATTTCCGGGATTGCTTGTAAATCTACTTAATTTACTAACCGAATGAGCAATATCCGGACGAGTGCAATTCATGACGTACATTAGACTGCCTATGTGTAGACGCAGAAAATTAATTAATTGGTTAATTAAATTAGCCAATTAAATTGTGTCTAAATTAAATTATAATTTATCTTACAAAATAAGTTATGGAGATAATTATGAATTAATTATTGGCCAATAGGATTATTTCTTCTCTTCCAAGTTATAAGAGATAAATATCAATTTAAATAGAGCCAATCAAATCGCGCCACGTCATCAAGTAGACTTTAAGTAGGACTCTTATTCTACCACTATAAATAGGGACCCTCTCTACACAAGTCAAAACACAACTCAAGAAGAAGAAAAACCGTAGGAGAAAATCTCTCTACAATATCAAGTCGTTCTTCAACAAATCAAGGCGTTTTCATCAGATCGAGGCATCAGATCGAGGGCGTTCTTCAACAAATCAAGATCGAAGGAAGATTGAAGGGCCAAATCCATCAATAACTCCAAGTCAAAACCCGTCAAAGTTCAACAAATCAAGATCGAAGGAAGATTGAAGGGCCAAATCCATCAAGAACTCCAAGATCTTCAAGTCAAAACCCGTCAAAGTTCAGCGTTCGATCCGAGATTCAAGTCGCAAGACCCTTGGAAGACGTTATTCAAATCCAAATCAAATCCGGAGAAGATCAAGTCAACGACCCGACTCCGAAATTCAAAGTCAAACGCATATTGTTCTTGAGAGAAGAATCAGAGGATTAAATTAGAGTTTGTAACCCGCAATATTTTATTTTAATTCAATAAATTATCTTTGTGCAAGTTTTTCTTGTTTGTCTAAATCGCAGATAAGAATTTGTTGCTACAAATTTTGGCACGCCCGGTGGGACATCTCTACCTCTCATCTCTTCTCTCTCTCAAGATCCTCGAAGTGTTGCAGTGACCGCTCTACGTTCGCAATGAAGACTGCTACTTCGAATTCATCAAGTGTGGGCTTAGTTACAAGGAGTATGGCTAAGAAGCTGCAAGCATCCTCAGAGACTAGCTCGACGCCCCAAACCATTCAGAAAGGCTTACCACCTCTTGTCAATACAAGCGCAGACGTGGAAGGTTCAAAACGAGAGATTTCACAGCCTACGCCTCGTTCAACATCAAGCTACTCAGAGGTGGCATCCGTCATAACAACAAACGCTACAACCATGGAAGAGCA